TATCTAATCTAATACAACACTGCAATGTTCTCACGACTTGAAATCTACATGGCCGGTTAGTTAAGATGTTTGATATATAATTACATGGAATTCCATCTCCAGCAATGTCTCTCTCCAAAAAACTTGTTTTATTACAACTTACAGGAATCAATGCTATGCTGATTCAAAGCTTGAGAAAACTAAATGTTATATCACTCCCTTGTATCATCATTCTCTGCCTCAGCTCCACAAATTTTTCTTGTGTTGCTGCAGATTGATCTCATACAGAAGTTGCGCTATGGCTTCAATGGCTTCCTTACTTTCAAGGACTGATAAGGCCATCTTTAACATTTTCCATACAACTTAAGGAGAAAGGTGGCGACTCGCGAATAACTTTACAGAAGCACAACCACTGCTGAGACTACTAGGATCAGAAGCGACCTTTTGTCTACAGCATAAAGACCTGACAAATGTACAAGAATTTCAGTCAAATAAAAGGATATGCAACTCGACTCGATAGATATAGCTATAGAAAAACAAAGTTGCATGCTTTGGTTCATTTTAGTAATTGTATGCTGGAAAATCTTAAGCCGGAACCTATTACTGTTCCTTTTAGGGGTATTTAAGGCATGGGATTAAGGATTTATGTTACCAACCAACATCGAGTGGAATCATGGGAAATCCTAATTGAAGAGAAGCATCTCAAACTAACAACAAAGTGTGGAGCTAATTTCTTACTTATAGCCTTAACTTTATTTCAGAGATTTCGGTTGTTTAGACAAATATGGGGGTTTGGATATCCAAATTTTTTAAAAAAGGTGAGAACTCAAATCTGTTCTTACACTTTTGCCCAGATGCTGCAGCAGGAAGTGCGGGAATTTTTACAGCTGCAAGAAGAGAGTTCAGACATATATTAGTTACTAACTGTTCATGTGGCAGTATGACCTTTCAAATTAAGGCATATTTTGGGTGGAAAAAAGAAATGAGAGATATTAGGTGCAGTAAATAGAAAGGGTAAATTTTGTATTTGGTCCATAGCTGTCAAATTTATTATCCTTATTATCCATTTGCCAATAAACTGGGAGAAAATGACATTGGGTATGGTTCTACTAATTGGAACTAATATCATAAGATCAGGATCAAATTTAAAATATTAAAACGTCTAGGATTTAAACTTTTGGGACCAAACTAAAATTTACTCATATAAAGAATTAGTGAACGTACTTTTATTGCATGATGAGGCTTGTAAATGTGATGCAGAAGGCCAAGGAGCTGGAATGTTATCGTTCAAATCACAGACAAAGCTGATCCCTGAGGTTTTGTCGAGTATCGCATCTGATGGCAAACTAGGCAAAAGGCACCCAGACACTACCCAAAAAAGAAATAAGAGTTAGGCTATGATATGATACCGAGTCACTAAACAAGGTTCAAAGCTGGAAATAAATAACAATGAAGGAAAATGCTCGAGTTAAACCCGAAAACCTATGCACTAAAGCTGAACAAACCAATATAAAGGTAACTGATGAGATGTAGATTAACAAGTATAATAGGAAAATTACCATCTGGTGCAACTGGAGAAGTTGTTCGGAGATATCCAGAATGAACCATGTAACATAATCACAAATTCCCACGTTAGCATTCGGTAAATAGCTTCACATCTTAAACGAGAGTGAAATTGGTATCCTGAACAATAACTGACCTTGGACAGAAAAATCCTTGAGACTGATCTGGCAGAGATTGTATACATTTTGGGTAACTTTAGCCTTCTGTAACTTCTGACCAAGTGAAGAAGCACAATCCAAAGCTTGCAAGTTAGTTATAAAGCTTTGCCTTTGTAAGTGAGACACGTAGCTCCCCATGGCACTACAACATGCTGTCTCGTTACTTATCCTGTCCTCACAAGCCTTTATGTGATGGCCCATGTTGGGGAAAACCAAAGGGCACACTGGAATGGGGAAAAAAAAGATGATTATGCTAGTTAAAAATAAAGCAGTCTAAAGAGAAAAGACCTCGATTATGCATTAGTCTTTTGGACAGTGACTAAGAAATCAATATGTTGAAGGCACATAATAGGAGAGAAATATGTTGAAGGCACATGCCAAGCACCTTGTGCTCAGATGGCATGTAGTGACCTCTCCTACGTGGGAGGTCATGAGATTGAGCCTCAGTAGAGGCGTTGTTGGCTCTGTGTGCTTCATTAGGTTGAGAAAGTATGTTTGAACAGATACTACAATGTAATAGAGTCAGCAGCATTCAAAAAAAATAATAGGAGAGAAATAGTTAAGCATTCCTCACCTCGATTATTTTTGCAGTTAGACAGCCCTCTAAGAACATCTTTTGCATCCGAAGGATCAAGTTTACTTGCCAACCAACGGAGCACGATACGTTTGCAATCATCAGTTTTGGCAGAGTGGTTAGGTAGAGCATGAGATCCATCTGTTTTTAAAAGATCATAAGCATTTGCAACGAGCTTTCCAGCTGCTTCGGTTATAGCATTTTGACAGATTTGCTCACAACACTCATTCACAAGATCAATCTTCCCACAGGCAGCAAGGAGGCTAGATGAATCCACCGTGGCCTCAAACTCACGCACATCACTGATTGGACAAGAACCTTCAGTGAGGTTTGACAGGTTAAGAGTGCATATATGTTGCAGAGTATCATTAGCACCCCTGCTCACAAGAATTTTCTGAAGATCCGATAGACAGTGCTCTGCTATTGTCCTATTTAACGCAAGCATATTTGTATCTTTACTAGATTGGCCAGCAAGAACTAATAGAGTGGTTTCTAGTTGGGGGCAGCACATTACATTAGCTAGATACTCTGCAAATGGAGCTGCGCAATCAATTGAAGTCACACTTATCATGTTCTCTACAGCAGCAAAGTTCAACGGGCAAACTCCTGCAATAGGGAATCAAAAGAGCTCAGCTTTTTGGGTGCGGAAGATGGTGGGGATGGGTTAAAAACTTAAAATATGTAATCTTGCAAAAAAAAATAAAAAAATCTTTTTGAGAATTTTGCATATTATGAAAGTTAAACAAACCAGATAATTTTGGGACACTGATATTAGTGAATGGTGCCAATGGAGAAGGTGCCAAAAGAGGAAGAAGGGGCTGCGCCTCAGGAGCTGCAGATGGGGAGGTCTGAGGCAAAAGACCATTATCCTTTTTGTCTGTAAATACAGAGCCCTTAAGATTGCTCAGTGGGTTACAACTGGAGCCATGAAAACCTGTGTGAATTCATCATAGTAAGCAATAGTTCTGATTCTTCATAGAAAGGAAAATACAAGGTAATGTGCTTGCATTCATCATGATATGTTAGGCAAATCTGCCAAGATTTCAATAAAGATAGTGCCCATGATGACAAAGTAATCATAATGTGATTTTAAAAATTCAACTAGAATGCTAAAGAACAGGAAATGCAATAAGTTTGCTTCAAACAAAAACAACAAAACCCTAAAACTGACAAAACAACATGGAAGGTCTGTCTCACTCAATAAGTCACAGACTTGAAAACAAGGTTAGCAAGAATTTTTCCAATAAACAATGACCCCTTGATGCAGAAATGATCCAGATAATGCTAAGACAGCAATCACGAGAGTTGGTGAAATTTCAACAAATATCATAAAAAATTTGTTAAACCCAATTTACAGAACATTCCAATTAACAAAAATTCTATTGCTTCTTACAGAAAATAACAACAATAATTAGCAAACAAAAAAATGTAGCATAAAATCAATCAAAAGACCCAGTTAGTTTCCTTGAAAGAAAATCATGCTTTCACGCCATAACAATAAACCAATGGATCCATGCAACAAACAAGTAAACCCAGCAAGAAATTAACAGATAAAGCTCAAAAAGACTCACAAAGAAGCAGCACTAGAAGAAGCACATTTTGATTATAAAGTTCCCAACTTTGAGCAGCCCCTTTTCTCATGCCTGCTCTGTTTGATCCAAAACGTACTCCCCTCTGCAAACTCACGCCCTGAGAGAGAAAAAATCAGTCAAAATCCCCCTCTAAAGGGGTCAACCAGTTTTCTAAGAAAGACAGTGACTTTTGGGTTCAGAAGTGAAAATGGAAACTGGGGATTTGAGAAAAGAAGATAAAGAAATGCAGAGCAAGAAAGATGTAGAAAAAGAGGGCTGGGGTTGGGGTTGGGGCAGAAGCCATGAATGAGGTGCTGCCTGCCTGCCTGCTTAGAGTGTGCGTGTGGGGACTGAAGCAGTAATCTACATAGCTGTACATATTAGTGTGTTTAGACCCCACTAAATTTCCAGTTCGAAGCCATGGGACCAACTTAATCCTTCAACCTAATCAATCTCAATCGTATAATACAAGTTTCTATCTTCTTAATATGATTAATTAATAACGCAGTATAATTTTTTTTTCCAATCCACTTTGTGATCTAGTAACATGGAGTGGTTGAGCCCCAATGAGGGCAGTATTTGAGTCAGTGGTACTAAAAGAAATAATAAATAAATCTTCATTCATAACAACAAACATCGAAGTCATAAATTTTTATTTTCTAAACAGTCAAATTTTTTTTTCAATAAACAAAAATAATAGACTGAAAATTATTATTCATATATGTTAGGTGCAGTTATAAAGACAATCCAATTATGATTCTGAAACGTATTTTTTCTGTCATATTCTTTATTTTCTAAAACAGTTATCAACATTTCTTGATATATAGTTTAAAATGTTGTCACATTTTAAAATTAAATATTAGTACTGTAATTATTTTATTTCATTTTTCTGAAAAAAAAAAAAAAAAAGGACAAACAACAAATTTAGTGTGAAAACTCAAAACAGAGGTAACGGTTGGAGGCTTGTCTTACGCTGATTATTTATTCATTTATTGGAAAAATATTGTATTAGCAACTGGGTGAGGACATCAAAGTCCATGATTTGCCTTGGTTTCACGCTTTGTCTATTGCATATTCATGTCACACGCATGGCACGTGAGTCCGGGATCCCGTCCAAGTTCCAGCTTCTTTTTCCTCCGTCTTTTGTGGTTCGTGTAGTGAACTTTAATTTTTTTTGCCCAAAAGCTTTAACATTTACATACTTTTGATTCAGTCCTCGAATATTCAATGCTACGTATTTACTGTAGTTGATAACAATTAATTTTATGTACCAACTACTTCTTATTCAGGGAAAGACTTTCGGATAGTGACTACGAACTTCTCCCCGTAAATCAAAGAAAATAAAATCAGTTCGGTCTTTATGAGCGAAGCAATAGACATTTGAAAAACTTCTGCTCAGCCTGTAGGTTCAGGGAGTGAATCTGGGCATTTCTTGAGCATGTGTGAAATATGATCAGGTATAATCTGTGGATCAGCTCCTGTAAAAGACCAAATGATACTAAATAAGTCCCCAAATTCTTGAAAAAGACATTTCCTTATACTGAGAGGTTAGATGAGGAAGTAAAGGTCAAGTATCCGTTTGCAATTTGGAACAACTAGTGAACAGATTACTAATATAATTGTAAGATCGGAGGGTTGACTTTTGTATATGTGCGTCATGTTAAAGAGTTTTGAGCAAAACATTTCCTCGAGTAAAAGTCAAATTCTACTAAGGTCGTATCTAAATTAGTCTCACAGTGGTAAGAATATTGCTGCTATATCACTGTTTTCAAAAAAAAAAAAAAAAAAAAACAACAATAAATTAATTAGCTCTACTTAAGAATTAAGATTGGACATAGGTAAGCAAACAGTATGGTATACCTACCAAGGCAACAATTCCAGGGGTGTTAATCCCAGTGCTGGAAAACCTCTCAAGAACAACACATGATTTCATTGTGGTCTGAGACGAAATGCTCAAGAATATCTACTCTGCTCTTCCGGCAATCCCTTCTTCCAATTTCGAGTTTGGGCCCTCTAAGCTAACAAGAAGACAAGAAGTATGCTATCAAAGAAACCCTTAATAAATAGAATAAAGAGAATAGTCTTTTCACATTTAGTTGAATATACAAAATTTGAGTCATATTAGCAGGGGATACTCAAGAGTGTGAAAGCTTGGTCAGCAGTGTTGAATTTCAAATAGCACACAATAACTATGGATTACGCCTAACAGTCCTACGGGTAAGAATTTATTAGCAGTCACAATGTCATTGAAAAAATCAAGAATGAAGCACAATGCTATTCTGGTGACCCACAAGCAATCTAGTCTATGCATTCACAAGAAACTGGAGTGGTTTAGTTTATCTTGGTTTTATTATATTGTCTAATTGTCTTAATAAAAGCTTTATGGGATCATGAGATCTAATTCTGAGCTTACACTTAATGCAGTCTATGGGATGTCCTACAGTCACATGGGCTGCTGCATCTCCAATAGTGCTAAACATTACTAAATACTAATAAAACTAAACACCACAGAATATTACTGTATTTAACCCCACATTGAGCTGAAAATATTGTAAGCTTTATGCTGAAGGACAACTTGACAAGTTAGTAGATTGGCAAAAAAAAAAAAAAAAAAGTAATATCTGCAGCAGCTGAAAAATATAATCTATATTTCAAGAAATCTGCTACTTCTTTGTTTTGAGGATGAAAAGAGCAGACAAGTTTAAAGTCCAAGTTAACATTTTCAACTCAAGAATTTAACAATTCAATACCAAGTAGAACCATAGCTCGTCATTATGTATCATGATCTGACAGCATTACCAAATTTGGAAATAAATGTGAAATTTATACAGGAAAAAATCATCGTAAAATGAAAGAAACCTGCAATCAAATTTCCAAATACCCATTCATCTGCTAAATCTGTTAGACTTCCTTTGTGGAAGCCCATGCAATTACTGTGCCCAATAACATGATCTTTAATATTACGCTGCACCACAACTCTGCTCTGGTTCCCACGAAATATAACAAAAGAAGTGCCAAAATCGAAATCCACAGAACAAGCCAGTGAAGTGGAAACTTCATCCTGTCAATAGTGATATGACACACTACATGTGACACACAAATTCTTCGTCCTTGTAAATATGGCCTATAAAGGCCAATAATTCCCTTTAGTACCTTCCAATAAAGGGAGTTACACAGCTGAAGAAGACCAACCCATTCATTTATGTGTGTGGTGAGGTAGTCTCCCTAGAAATACCGACTTGTTCAAGAGGATTTCATTTTCTTCATTAATTCTTCAATCCTCTTGGCAGCATCAAACATATTCTTCTGTTTGATTTCCTCCAAAAGAAGACTGTAGGTTTTATATCTAGGTATAATCTCTTTAGCTATCATCTCCTCACAAATTTTATAAGCCCATTCACATTTATTTGATCTGCATAATCCATGGATCAAAAGTGAGTATGTTGCTAGATCTAGACTTAAATGATGCTTATTAACCATACTATCCAATAACTTAGGCAATAAATTATCAGTCTTCCCATCTCTAAAGCACAACTTCAGCAGAGGACTGTATGACTGGACATCAGGTTTACAATATGGTGAATTTTCCATTTCTGACAGATATTCTAAAGCTGCTTGTTCTTGTCTGTGATGGCAAAACATTGCAATCATGGAATTGTAACTTGAAGTGTTTGGTTTGACGCCATTTATCTCCATTCCAACTTTGAATACATATTCAGCCTCTTTTAGTTGGTGAACCCTGCCTAATGTATGAATCAGGGCATTATAGAAAACTGTATCAGGTTTACAACCAACCAATTTCATCTTATCATAAATCTGCAGCGCTTCCTCAAACTTCTCAGACTTTGCCAATGAACACATAATAGTGGTGAAGGTTACAACATTTGGCTGGCACCCCTGAGCTTGCATTTCATCAAGAAGCTCATAAACTTTGTTGAAGTCAGATTGATTACAATGGGATTGGATGATAGTTGAGTAGCTGATAACACAAGGGCGAAATCCATGTCCTCTCATCTCCTGAATCGTCCAATGTGCTTCATCTACACTGTTAGCTTTGCACCAGCCATGAATGAAAATGTTAAATGTGTTTGCATTTGGAGGAATATGTGACTTAAGCTCCAAGAAGATTTCCCGTGCCTGTTGAACTCTATTTTCTTTGCAAAGAGTGTCAAGTAACAAATTCATGGATTCGGTGTTCTTTACAAAACCATAGTCTCCTAACTCATCAAATATTCTCACTGCTCCTTTCCAATCTCCTGCACCTGCAAACCTTCTCATAACTTTTCCTATAGTACTGAGAGTGATAATATGGTTTTCACGCATTTCCTCTACCAATGCACACATCTTATCCATCTTCTTCATTTTCCCTAGTATGTCCACCAATTTATCATAGAATTCAGGTAAAGGCTTATAGCCCGGGCGTGATTCTGCCCATCTAAAAGCACCCAGTGCCAACTTCCAATCATCTTTAAAACAATGAAGCAACCTGCCAACAAGGTTGTGATTAAGCTGCATAGAATCACAAGCTGGATCAGATAAAAGAGACTGGAAAACTTCATCCTCACTGCTCCCAGGAGAAATTCTAGCAAGTAAAATGGCAATATCAGAATTTGCTCTCAACCCAACATTTTCTTCCCCAAAGGAACCCCCAAACTGGGAAGAATCCAAGGAGGAAAGAGAAGACAAAGTAGAAAAACACTTAAAATAGTTTGCAACGGCAATCTGAGAAATAACACGACGCCCTGACGAGACAAGATAATACATGTTTCTTGTTGCGAGGATTTTGACATGGAATACGATGAAGATACTATACTCCTGCAATATAATAGAAGAAAATTCAGCTTTTTCGGGAATTCATTCTAGACTTTAGCAATATCTAACGAGAATTAAATGGTAATAAGGATAACAATACACAACAATAATAGCATCAAAATTACATCGGAAAACATAAATGATGAACTTCAACTTTCTCATTTACGAAGTTCCACTAGAGCATTTCGAGTTACGGTTTTCCAAGTTCTAAAAAGATTACCGCAATCAGTGGCGGACCCAGGATTTTTCTTCGGGGGGCAAAGAAGCACAGGGAAAATAAATTCAAAAATGTTCAAATACAGATAAGATAGTTGAAATACAAAATACATTATAATGTAGATATCTTCGTCGCACAATATCTCTATTATTGATATGATACTCATAAATACTTTTCCTTTTAACCGGATCAACTTCAAGTTCATCTATGTTAAATTCAATACGAGGCCTTGCACTTGACACTCGCGACTACCCTGACTAGATGAATTCTCAAAAAAGTTGATTTTCTTTTTAAAAAAAATTTCATAACTGAACCAAATTTCCAACAAACGAATTACATATTAACATATAATTCATTATTCATGACTATTTGACAACCAACATAATTTGCAGAATTAAGAAATCACAGAATAATACAATAGCAATATTCAGATTATGCCAATTATAATTGAGATATTCATATTATACAGTAGCAATATTCAGATTGCTTCCTCATTCCTCATTTGAACAAATTAGGATTTGAACAACAGATTATGCCAATTACTCATTTTCAGATTATGCCTCATTTGAACAAATTAGGATTTCAAATTAAAGCAAAATTTATTTAGCCCCAATTCCCCCAAAATTATTCAGATTATGCCAATTAGAAATTATCAAAAATTTCCTCATTCCTCACAGAATAATACAGACATACTGTTTACATATGACAAGAATCATCATCATGTATAATCAACCATTATATTCCCCTTCTGAAAACCAGGGAACATTTGTTGCTTCAGCAACTAAATGAATAACGAATCCTCCCTCTAAATCTCTAATTCATCTTCCATTATCAAAAATTTCCTCATTTGAGAATAGCTAAATCAAAAATTATCAGATTATGCCTAAATTCAATTTAGGGCAAACATAAATCAAATTAGGATTTATGGCAAACATAAATCAAATTAGGATTTAGGGCAAGAATTGAACATTTGAACATAAATTAAACCAGCAAATTAAAGCAAATTAAACAAACAAAGGGTGAGAACTGAGAAGGACGGAGAACGGAGACACGGAGTTGAACCTTACCTGGCGGCTGGCAGTTGCGACTTTGCGAGGCAACGGAGTGGTGGGCGGTGGCGCTGAAGAGGCTGAGGGCAGACGGCGACGGGAGGCAGAGAGCGACGAGAAGTCCGGCAGAGACGAAAGGTGAGAGGCTGAGAGAGACCGCAGACGGAAGAGAAGAGAAGAACGGTGGTGGACTGGTGGCGTCTCACGCAAGTCCACAGCAAGCAAATGAATTTAAAAATAAATATAAAAAAATTATATATATATATATATAACAACCCAAAACAACGTCGTTTTAGGCTGAATAATTTTGGGCAGTGGGAGCAGCTGCCAGGTAAGGTTCGCCTCCGACCGCAATATGAAATACCGATTTTAACCATGCCAGCTAGCTGCTAAAACCATACCATTCATATGAACACAAAAAAGTTACCTAAGGCGGTGTCGCCGACGAACATAGGGAGACGGAGAATCTGAAATAGTGAAACACCGGCTGGTCGGAAATATATTTCTGTAATTGACGACAACTCAGAGAAACCGCATGAAGCTATGGGTCACCCGATTTCACCTAATTTTTGGGCCTTAGCCCATTCGTCCCATCAAAAATTCACAATTATTTGGCAATTAATATAGGCAAATTATATCGTAGGGCGCACAATGACTTCCGACTCAAAATTACATCATTTTTTATAAGTTTGGGAAATTGGCGCGATGAATATCGTTCTATCCATCTAATCTCATTATAATTTTTTTTGTTTGTATATTATATTAAGAGTTCATGTGTATTATGTGTAAGATTCTATGTGTATTATGTTAAAAGTTTATGTTTATTATATATTATGTTAGGAGTTTATGTGTATTTTACTATACAATTTTATACATACGAAGAAACGAAAAAATTTTTAGAAGGCACAATGCATTGTGCCATGATGCATGATATAATGATTGTCAATATATTATGGATTCATTAAGATTAATGGTCTGCATTGTAATAAGGTGTATCACTGACATATATAATACATGTTTATTTTTAATACTAATTTTACACATGCATTACATGACTGAATTAATGTTCAATGTTTGTATTTACATGTGTTTTGTGCGGACTAATAACCAACCCCCAATGTGTAAACCTAGCTAAAGCAAATGAGTAAAGGAATTAATATTATTGTTAACTTGTTCAAACAAAAAAATATTATTCGTGCTTATTCTTATGTGTGGGGACTAGAAATCAATGAGTAAATTAAGAATAATAAATAATTAATTAAATGTTCCGTTACTAAAGTTTGCACGGACAGAATGTGGGGTTATTTAAGAAAAGTAAATGATATAATTGTTGAGCATACAGCCATTAATGTGCAATTCAACTATCAGCTTAGGCTTTTAGTTGAGATGGAGCACATGCTTCAATTTTGTATCAGAGCTAGACCAAATGTCAACTATCAGCAAAAAATACTAAAATTAAAATAATATGAACCATCCAATTAATAGATATTACTAAAATGACACTTTAGTATATAAAAATTAAACATTTATCACTTATCCATATTTCTACAATATGAATCATTGTACAAAGTATAATTCATCATTATTTGGTATGTGTTTGTATAGATTAATCTTGAAAACATTTTTGGAAATCTTTGTAATAACCTTAACCAACGTGGATTATACAAATCTATATATCTATATATATATATATATAAAAGTAAAATCCTCCTAGCAAATTTTCCCCCCAAAACTTTTGTAGTAAAACTTATTTGGTAAGTAAATGTCAAATGAAAATCTATCTATATATATATAAAAGTAAAATCCTCCTAGCAAATTCCCCCCCCCCCCCCCCAAAACTTTTGTAGTAAAACTTATTTGGTAAGTAAATGTCAAATGAAAATTAAATAAATAAATAAATAAATAAATAAATAAATAATAATAATAATAATAATAATAATAATAATAATAATGTTATTACCTTAAATAAATAAATGATTATACTTTCCCTTAAATAAATAAATAAATTATTATACTTTCCTTTTGAATTAGTATTTTCTACATATAAATACAAGAGCTTCTTCAATCAAAGAATCTCAGACTCATCTTTCTGCTTTCTTTTTGTATGAATTTTCTACATTTTTCAAACTATATTCTCACGTACTTCAATATGTTTTGCAGTTTGGACATCATGAATAGCTTCATCAACGATATCTTCTTGAAGCTCGCCCAAGAGGTGACTCGCTTGGCCCACTACAACAAGAAGCCGATAATCACTTCCCGCGAGATCCAGACCGGCATGAGATTGGTTCTTCCTGGCGAATTGGTAAAGCACGTTGTCTCTCTAAAAACACTAAAGCAGTCACCATATTTACAAGCTCTTAGATGAAATCATTTAAATCTATGTTTCGTTTTTATATAATCTCAATTAGGGATTAATAGATGTAAAGTAACTTGGATTTGAGTTTAATTTCATATTATTCTTCTAAAAGGTTTAATTTCATATTATAAGTATTGTTATCTACCTTCAACTATCAGTGAATCGATTAGCATTCTAAAAAAAATAAATAAATAAATAAATAAATTGAATGTCTATATCTACGTGCATTTAAGATGCAACATGTGTATAGGCTTTGAGGCAGGAGAACACATCTGGGTACATTGGTGGATCTTAATCTCATTGCAAAAAAAATCCATACAATTAATTAATTAATATAATTACAATTATCATTATTCTAATTCAAAAAAAACTAAAGAATTAATTGTAATAATGAAATTTGTTATTAATATTCTGTTACTAATTGACACAGAAATCAGATTAAAAGAAAAACGAAATTAATATTAAAAATGGACTCGAATTAAAAAAATGTGCTTAATAAGTAAATAACTAATTTGCTAGACAGAAAATTAGGGTAAAAAAAAATAATTATTAAACATTGTACCAGATTGTTTTTATGATTGAAAATGAATATTACAAACGTACCAGATTGTTTTTATGACCAGAAATAAAAATGAATTTTACACATGAGAATCTATTATTAATATTCTGTTATACTAATAGGCATGGGAATCATGTCAAATGAAAAAAGGATTTAATATTAAAAATTTATTGGAAATATAACACAGTTTTCCCTACGAAAAAATTAGTAACCACCAAATGAAATATTAGGAAAAAATTATGAAGAAAAAAGAAATGAAAACAAATATTAACTCTTTCTATGAATGAAAAAAAGAAATGAATATATCCATATTTCACTTAAAATATAATCAGTAATTATATTAATTATTTATGAAGAAAAAAGGAAATGAATATGAAAGGAAAAAAATAAAATTTAGACACGAAAATCTATTATTAATATTCTATTATACTAATAGACACGGGAATTAGGCCAAATGAAAAAAAAAATATTTAATATTAAAAATTTATTGAAAATATAACACCGTTTTCCCTACGAAAAAATTAGTAACCACCACGTGAAATATTAGAAAAAATTATAAGGGAAAAAGAAATGGAAATGAATATTAACTCTTTCTATGAGTGAAAAGGGAAATGAATATATTTATATTTCACTTAAAATATAATCAGCAATTATATGATTATAATTATTATAATTATATTAATTATTTATGAAGGAAAAATGAAATGAATATATTAATAGTATACTGGAAATATAATCAGTAATTATATTTTTTATAATTATATTACTTTTTAATTATGTGGAAATGAATATTAATTCTTTTTATGAACGAGAAAGGAAATGAATATTTCACAAAGAAATCTGTTATTAATATCATGTTACTAATCGACATGGAAATCAGGCCAATTAATCGACAATTATTAGAAAAATGAATAAAAATCAATATTAATTCTTTTTATGAAGGAAAAAAAAAAGAAATATATATATTCAAAAGGAAATGAAATATGAAGAAAAATGAATGAATATGTTTATATTTCACTTAAAATATAACACAGCTTTTGGCACAGAAATCAGACCAAAAGAAAAAAGAAATTAATATTAAAAATGGACTCGGATTAAAAAAAATGTGCTTAATAAGTAAATAATTAATTTGCTACACAGAAAATTAGGGTAAAGGAAAAAGGAAATGATTATTAAACACGTACCAAATTGTTTTTGTGATTGAAAATGAATATTACAAACATACCAGATTGTTTTTATGACCAGAAATAGGAATGAATTTTACACACGAAAAGCTATTATTAATATTATGTTACTAATAGGCATGAGAATCATGCCAAATGAAAAAAGGATTTAATATTAAAAATTTATTGGAAATATAACACAATTTTCCCTACAAAAAAAAAATAGTAATCACCAAATGAAATATTAGGAAAAATTATGAAGGAAAAAGAAATGGAAACAAATATTAACTCTTTCTATGAATGAAAAAGGAAATGAATATATCCATATTTCACTTAAAATATAATCAGTAATTATATTATTATAATTACATTAATTATTTATGAAGGAAAAAGGAAATGAATATGAACAGAAAAAAATGAATTTTACACACGAGAATCTATTATTAATATTTTGTTACTAATAGACACAGGAATCAGGCCAAATGAAAAAAACATTTAATATTAAAAATTTATTGAAAATATAACACCGCTTTCCCTACGAAAAAATTAGTAACCACCACATGAAATATTAGGAAAAAATTATGAAGGAAAAAGAAATGGAAATGAATATTAACTCTTTCTATGAGTGAAAAAGGAAATGAATATTACTCATAATGAATAAATATATGAATTATTATACATAGTAGAATGGAATTAATTAGTAGGACAATTATATTAGGCAATCTAATTAATAATTTACTTTTTAAATTATATTCCCTTTTTAATAATGAATATTTTCTTAAAGTATATACACAGATTATGCTTATCAATATAGAATTAAAAGTGTATAGATGTATAATATTATTAGTACAAAATCAATTATACTTGCCTTAATAATTAATTATTAATATTATTGCCTAATAATTATATGTTGTCACCTTTTTCGGGGTAATTATTATGGTAATTTATATACATATATATTTTTATACTTAATGTATAATATTATTGGGCACAAAATAAATATACTTAGCATTATATATAGAGATTATTTTTAATATAATTTCCTAATTTATTAAAGGTAATTATTCTCATAATTTTTCTTTCCTTCTTTTGTGTAATTATTATGGTAATGTATTTAAATATTGAAAGAGAAAAAATGTTATAATTAA